GAGAGAGAGAGAGAGAGAGAGAGAGAGAGAGAGAGAGAGAGAGAGAGAGAGAGAGAGAGAGAGAGAGAGAGCATGTGGCCATAGCAAATGTTTGAGGCTCTTGTTGTTTCAAATGAAACCTCTTTTTGAAAACCCTTGCACTATTGACGGGTGATGGAAATTTCGGAGTTTTTTCACATTTCCAAATTGGGAAAACTACGGTGGAGTCAAAATGGGGCTGTGTTATGTTCGGGGGAATGCCTGAAGTTACATTTTCAAACTGTCTTCATGACTGCCGCATGGTTACCCCTTCAACGATTGCGATCAACAGGTTTAGGGTTTGTACCGGAGATCAAGGGGTTTAGGGTTCGTACCTGAGATCAATGGGTTTAGGGTTCGTGACTCGAAAGGAGATGAAGACGGGTTCGTACCTGAGATCAGAGTTGTCACTTGTGGTACAGACTGGTTTTCCAGGGGGCTGATCAAGATTCATCCCTCGGCACAAGGAGGAACTTGTCGGAATCTGGACTGGTTTGACTGGAAGATTCATAATGTCTCTTGCTTTGTCTCTTGTGTATGTCATCTGTCCGCACAGGAGATGAAGATCGTGCTTCCGAATTCACAGCGCATTAACCGTGGTGGCCAGGTACGACGGACCCGTCTTCATCTCCTCTCCTTTTGAGTCGACGGACTCCTGAATGAACATGCTGAACGTCAGGAGTTGTTTCCATCGTTTCATGATTATCATCCTCTTTCTTCCGTTCCTCTTCCACTCTGCTCCCCCTCCTCTTCCCTTCTGTTTAAGGTTCTTTTTCCCCTTTCTTTGTAGGTTCTTTCCCCTTTCTTTGTTTACACTATTCTTTTGGTGCTCCTGAGTCTTTCTAGACCCAATTGCACAAATGGTGGTAATCACATTCAGATACACACGTTGGCAACATGCACACATGCAAAAGAGAATGAGAGAGAGAGAGAGAGAGAGAGAGAGAGAGAGAGAGAGAGAGAGAGAGAGAGAGAGAGAGAGAGAGAGAGAGAGAGAGAGAGATCTGGCGTATGTGGACAGCTCTCTTTTAATGTGTGCATTTGTGTGTGCAGACTGTTCCGGAGATCGTGGATGCATGCCGGCGAAACGACTTCACTGATATTGTGATGGTTCATGAACACAGGGGGGAGCCTGATGGGATGATTGTCTGCCATCTTCCCTATGGCCCAACTGCATATTTTGGACTCCTCAATGTGGTTAGTGTCTCTTCTCTTTTTCTTTTCTCCCCCAATGGTCTACAACAGTTTTCTCCTCTCCCCTTTCTGGTCTCTAACTTCCATTCTTGCTTGATCTCACTTTGGGAGCGGTTTCTCTCTCTCTCTCTCTCTCTCTCTCTTGATTGCAATTGACGTAGCGGATTTCTCCACTCCAGACACCACGCATACATGGACAAGCAGCAGCATAAATGCTCGAAACAACAACTCGCAAACTCATCACACATAGTCAGCAAACATGTTCTTCGAAAAGCAGGGAGCAACAAGCATGAAGCTCCGTTGAATCACACACGATGCTTCGCAACGACAGAGGTATCATGGATTTAGCCGAAGCTGACGGGCACACCGTGACGCCACCCACGTTTTGGCTGAGCTAGTTGCTGGCTCGTAAACAGCACAGAATTGAAATGCAAAAAACGAAAAAAACTTTTCAAAGAAAAAACTTAGGTCACTGGTTCGAGCCCGAACATGATTGAATCAATCCCAGAGGACATCTGTTGTGTCTGTCCAATTTTTCTCTCTCTCAAATTTCAAAATTTTCAAAAGGAAAGGAGGACGAAGCATTTTTTTTTTTTTGAAGGGCGATGGCCTTGAGGTACTATCCTCGGACTAACCAGCCCAGGTAAATTCAATCTTGTGTCTAATCTGACATCGGGTGGCCTTTTCAGCCCAGGGTGGCCTTTTCAGCCCAGGGTGGCCTTTATTTATTGCCTTCAGGGAACCCCCAATTGGGGGGGGGGATACCGGCCAGGGGACAGCCGGTAGCAGAGGGACCGAGCATCATCTGAGTGGCCAGTCGCTGTGCCTCCCTCCCCGATTACCCCTCCCCCTATGAACATCAGCTGAGACTGCTTTTTAATGCCAATTGGGGGAACCAACGGGGTATCTCTAGGGGGCGGGCGCCAAGCATGCCCAGGAAGGTACATGAGGCCAATTGGGATTGAACCATAGGAAGAGAGGAGGCGCCAAGTGGAGGGAGCACCACGTCAGCCTCGTGCTCCGCAAGAAGAGATAGGCGCCCCGTTACGCGCCACGTTTGCGATGCGCGCCCTGTTATTTGCTGCTGCGCACGCCTCGCCGTTTCCCGCTCGTGGCCGCTGCCGCTACGCACCAAGACCTCCTGAATGCCACTTGCGTGCCTTACCAACGGAGCTAGGCCGCTGGATAGGATGAAGGTTTATATTTCGCTGTAGTCATCAATTTTGAATAAATAATCAAATAATAAATTAATAATTGGATTTTGAAGATTTTGAACTCAAAAGTTTCTCATTATTTTGAATTGAACAGTGGGTGAAGGTTCAAATTTTGAATCCTGCGGTTACTGATTGGCAGTCAGGAGAATTTTATTTATTTTTTATTGATTATTTTCCAGTCAGGAGAAACTTAAAAATGGAGGGAGACGACAAAGCTATGTTTGCAGGGGTCCCCTGTCTAAGTCTTAGGAGTAAATGGGATGTGAAGGTGAATTCAAAGGATTTGAAAGATGATGAAAGATTTGAGAGAAGAATATAGCGTAGTTTAAAAAAAAAAAAAAAAAACCACAAATTTTCGAATTTGAAAAATGGGATGGGCGATCGCTATCTCTGATATATGTCGATAATCTATTACATAATTCTAAATTACTGTATGAACATAATTTTAAATTAGTATTTATTAATTTATTTATTAGTTAAAAAAAAGATCCACTGGACTGTGGGGAACAGGCGAAGGGTTATGAAAGCTCTATCTGTTGTTGGTGGTTTTTCCTTCTCCCCCATGTCGACTATGCGGTTGTCGGGGAAAGATGACACCCCTTTATTTGGTAACTTTTTTATTGAAGTAATAATAATTTCAATTTGATTGTACCCAGAAGGACTCGGAACGTTTTTGAATGGATGACCGATGTATGAGTATAGGGGTGTTTGCCACGTCCACCTCTTGCACCCGTGTCCGTGGTCTTACTTCAACCTTTTCTGTTTGTTTGCTGTTGATTTTGCTCATTTGCCCTCCAACAGGTCACCAGGCATGACATCAAAGACCGGGCATTAGTAGGAACGATGTCGGAAGCTTATCCTCATTTGGTTTTCGAGAACTTCAGCACAAAGGTTAGTGTGTGTGATCATGATGATCATGATCATGTGTGTGTGTGTGTGTGTGTGAGAGAGAGAGAGAGAGAGAGAGAGAGAGAGAGAGAGAGAGAGAGAGAGAACAGGTAAGTCTCCAACGTCGCGGCTGGCCCCATGGTACTTCATTGATAGGATGAGCAAAATCGGATGAATCTACGGCTAGAACATGGAAATATACACTGGCACTTTTTTGTTTTTGGAGGCCCCGCACGGCCTCAAAATTTTATTTTTATTTTTTTTGTGTTTCTTGATGCGACATCCCACTCGGGCCTATTTTTATTTTTTCGTTTTTTCGTTTTTCGTTTTTTCGTCTTTTCGTTTTTTCGTTTTCATTTTGCTTTTTCCTTTTGTTGTGTTGTCATCGGAGGGTGCGCTTTCCATTGAAGCAGTCAAGTTGATTCGCCTGTGTAGAGTAGGATTCGATCCGGAGACGTCTGAGAAGGACGGTGCAGGCTAGCTTGAGTGTGCTAATGGCGGTGTGGAATGTTTGCAGTAGGATTCGAACCAACGACGTTGGGTATTGTTGGGTCCACCTAGTAGTACGCAGTAGAATGTATGAGGACAGGGTGTGGATACGCGCTTTGATTTCATGGGATTGTTTGTTCTTTGAGGTGGGCGACGGGCCTTTAGCGATGTGTCCGTGGCAATAGGGCCCGTTGCGTACACCGCTTGCAGGCCTCACCTGCGTTGAAGCCTTGTTTGTTTCGCGGTTGAGGAGTAGGACTCGAACCAGAGATACTTGATAGGTGTAGTGTAAGCTAGCTAGAATGTCTGAAGTTCGGACGTAGAATGTTGGCTGAGGGATTCAAACCAAGTTGCTTGTGTCAGGTCTGACTTGTTAGTGCATTGTAGACTGTCTGATGTTGACGAGGAGTGTGTCACGTTTACGGTCGGTACTATTGTCGGCTCGGTACTCTGGGGAACCAGGGCATCGTAACTTTTGGTAGGTATTTAGTGTTTGATTGCGGAGTTTGGAACTCTTCAGGCGTACGGTCGCAAAGGACGCTAGTAGTCCGGAACGCTAGCGCTCAGAACGAATGGACGAGGGTTGGATGGAACGTGATGGCTAGTGCATGGTATGACGGTGGATCCCCCTGATGAGGCGACGGCAGTCGCCAAAACGCGTCGGGGACGCTCCTTCATGGACGAATGTTTCCTATCTTTCAGAGTTATGAACTTTGCTTGTTGTAACGCGTCTGTGACGTTCGCGTCTAACTGTGACGTTCGCGTCTAATGATGTGATATGACTTTGAACTTTGTTTCATCTCATGGTCTTTATCTACAACCGCCCCCCTCCCCAACTTTTTTTCTTTTCCCGACCTCTAAATTTCCAGGTCCGGGGCCGCGCAACTGAATGCGCTGCAGGTATGCTTTTTTTCCCTGATGTGTTTTTTTTTGCTTTTTTTGTCGTCTCAACTCTCAACATTCCAGATGGACTTCATTTTCCCTCTAGACAGATGAGAAATGGGAAACCGGAAGTCTATCAATCTAATTATAAAAAAACGATGATGATCATGTCGATGCGGTCAAGAGGACTTTCCCCCCACATTCACTCTTTTTGACCCTTCATTTATTTGATCTTCTGAACCCCCTTTTGATTCTTCATTTGTTCATTTGAACACTTTTTCGACCCCTCGTTCATTTGTTCTTTTGAAACCCCTTTTGATCCTTCATTTGTTTGTTTGAACCCTTTTTTGACCCCTCATTCATTTGTTCTTTTGAACCCCATTTGATCCTTCATTTGTTCGTTTGTAGAACTTTGTACCCTTTTTTGGTCCTTGCTTCTTTTGAACCCCTTGTTTGCTCCTTCAGGGAAAGGAGAAAGGGGGGGTCAGGCAAGGATCGGCAAGGCACATGGGAAGATGGGGAAAGATGGTCCCGAGGGGGGAGCGGAGGGGGACAAAGGGAGAGGGGAGAGGGGAGAGGGGAGGAGGTGAGGAGGTGAGGGGGGGTTGTACACAGTCACAGCTGAACGAGTTAGGTGCATATTGCAAGCGCACGTCGTGCGCGCGGTTCCCGACGTGCGGCGCACGAGCCGAACCGATCCTGTGCGGCGCATGATGTGTGCGGGGAACGATCCGTTACCCCCCTCTGGAAAAAAAAGGAGGCCGGGGGTTGAAACGGTGCGTTTGAGGCCCCCCGCCAAAATTATAAGCGGGATGAAAAAAAAAATTGCAGGAGTGCTGCCTCGCCTCGCTCCTCCCCTTCCTCGTCCTTCATGTCTCCTCCTCCCTTCTCCTTTTTGTCTCCTCCAACTCGCCCTCCTCCTCCTGCTTGTCCTCCTCTTCCATGCCTTCTCGGCTCCTTCCCTTCCTCGTATCCTCCCCTTTCTCGTGTCCTCCCCTTCCTCGCCGTCCATGTCTCCTCCTCCTCCCATTCCTCCTCCTCCTCCTGCCCTTCCTCTTTTCCCTCCGTCTATCTCTTCTCCTCCCCCATCTCTACTCCTCCTCCTCGTCCTCGCTATCCTCGTTGTCCTCCTCGTCCGCATCCTCCTCCTCCTCTCCATATCCCCCTCTCCTCGCCATATCCCCATCTTCCTGTTATACGCCCCCCCATCCCCCCTCCCGAAAAGTAAATAAATGGTAATAATAAAAATAAAAAACTTGCACAATTCTGCACAGGCACCCCCTGCACGGAACTCCGCACAAATGTTTGGCTCGTGCGGTTGCAAGTATGGTTCGGTGGTTTAGGGTTTAGAGCTTGGATGACTCCCACGGCCATGTTGTGATCCAGTATCCTCTTTTTTTTTTCTTTTTTCTTTTGTTAAGTAAGCTCCCGATCTGTAGGTTTTTTTTTTTTTTTTTTTTTTTTTTTTTGGGTGGGGAATTACTAATTAGATCATAAGTGAACCTGAATGACAACAAATTTGAAAAAACTATAGCGAAAAATGTTTCACTTGGGCCCGTCTTATCAGGCGGCTGTGATGCGTACTGTTCAAAGATACTCTCAGTGGTGCCGTTGCCTAGATTTTGAACCCGCAAGTAGCAAGCCGGATTCTTCCCAAGCAATGCTCTACCGTCTTCGGCTGAATAGAATGCCCTGCCACTATCGCTGTACATGGTCTTCAAGGTGGACCAAATACATTTTCAATGACCGGGCGTTCTATTCGGGTGAAGACGGTAGTACAGATTAGATGTGACTCGTGTGAGTGAGCCTCGCTGTGCAGCAGAAAAATCCTTTCGTTTTATTTCAGTATCGATGCTTGTCTGACTTTTGCTCGTGCTGGGATTCTTCGGCCTTTTAAGTTTTAACCGAAATATTGTTTTTCCTATTTTCTGGCGGTCGTAGTATTTGACGTTCTGGACATTTTGTTTCATTTACAGCTGCAGAGGATCCGACTTTTTAATAGTTTTTTTTTATTTTTTATTATTTTTAAAGTTTTGTAAGTGTTTTTTGCTTTGTAAGTTCTCAATACTTTTTCTACTTTTTTTTGTTATGCTCTTTTTTAACTCTTTTGAACTTTTTTCAAATGTTTAACTTTTGCAAGGAAAATGAGCGATAGCGAACTTCAGAAACCAAGCAGCATTGAAAAAAAAAAAAAAAAAAAAAAAACATCATACACAGAAGACCAGATAGTCGTGACCTCGAACCAAAAGCAGAATTGCAACCCGAGTTCCACCAAATAAGAGCACAGCAAAAGCTCACAAGTGACGATGTTGGAATAGTCTCATCATCATCATCAACAATGAACCAATGTTGACATCCTATCTGGCGCTCTGCGCTCAGACTACAAGTGGCTGATCCTATCTAGCCTATTTCTACAATGCCGCTGGTGACGTCAACAGCTCCCCGAAGTACGAGCAGATCTCGGACAATGCCGTTTGCCTCAAGCACCAGGTATGTCTCTCGTATCACTCACAACCTCGATCCCCCGCTCACAGATGCCACGTGCACCCAAGGACCACCATGCGCCCCATCCAGCTCAGCGCAGCGCAGCTCGGCTATGGCTGCCTTCTCCCAGCTCGCCCGTGAGCGCGTGGGCCTGGCCAGCGATTAGCGCAGCAGCGCTTGCGCAGCATGCAGCCAGTGCCCGAATGCCAAATGCGAGGGCAGGCACTTTCCTAGATGGAAGTGGGCCGACTGCTGCGTGTGGCCTGGCTGCGCTGGGCCCCTGCCCAGAAGCTTCCGGTAGGCCCCGAGAGGCTGAGCCCCAGTCTAAACGAATCAGGCCCAGGGCCTGTGACGGTTGTCTGTGCCCAACTGCCCACACCCTGTGTTCGACCCTTGTTGTGTATCTGGCCCAGGGCGTGCCTCAGTTACGTACAAAAAAGGGCAGCCTGGGCCTGGGCGCTCTCAACCAACTGGCGCTGCGCAACTGCCTGGATTTCCCCAGTTGCGTGGTAGCCGAAAAATAGGCCTCTGAGCCTTGGTCGGGCCTGCCTTCGCTTAGGGCGGCCGACTGTGCTGCTTACAGGGGTAAAAGGGGCTCATCGGGCCCTCATGCCTCGCACTTTAATTAAGTGATTAGTCAATATAATACGATGCACATTGCACATGGTCACATTGTTTTTGGAATTGAAGTTATTGAACTGAAGAATTCTGTTATTTTGCTCAAATTTGTTGGCTTGGTTTTGTTGTTTTGTTTTGTTTTGTTTTGTTTTGTTTTGTTTTGCTTTGCATTTTTTTTTTTTTTTTTTTTTTTTTTGCTTTGTTTTCCCCCTTGGCAGCTAGGAGTGAGGACAAGTACTATTTTGAAACACCTCTTCCCCGTACCTAAAGACGACAGCAAACGTGTCATCGCTTTCGTCAATCAGAGTGACTACATCTCATTCAGGTGAGCTGGAGAGAGAGA